AATGCTATTATACAAAACTCTAATTCTAAATCTGAAATGGACAAATCAAGAGGAATGTGAAAAAACCTTTATGTGATTTTGATCATTAACGTTAGGCGTATTGGTTTTTCAATGCTTCGCCAGCTTTCGTAATAAGATTTTAGAAAGTATTTCTTATAGCAAAGCAGTATCAGGCTATCTGCTGTGTCCACCGAGGGAAATCGAACCCCTGATTTTAGCGTTGTAAATCCGAAGACTTACCGCTGTCCCAGCGGGGGACATTTCAGAAAGTAATGTATTTAAGAGATAAACACGTTAGCACATTTTTTTTCCCCGTTTTACTTTGAACCATTTGTAAAATATAGTTACACAAAATTAAAATGCGGCATATTATCATGAGGTGTTATTATTTACTCGTATTTGAAGTTGTAGCTATGCGTAGGTGATAAATGCGTTTCTATAGCAACACATTGTATTCAGACTTATCCTGCGTAATGTTTACCCTCCACTTCCCTGATTTTTTTATTTTTTCTGTTAAGAGTTGAATAATTCTCGTTTAGATAGCAGTTATCAAAGAGAATGTAATTATGTTTAGTGAACTGTTGAATTTTACACATGCATGGGTAAGCTTTTTGACATTACGGTCAACACAGGCAGTATTATACATCATACTCATGATAGTATGTTCACCAACAGCGTTTTGCCGTCGTCGTCATGACAACGCAGAACTTCCTATCAGACATGCAAGTTTTAACTGTAAAGCGGGTACAAGTTAGCGCACCAACAAATCAACACCAGTCCCAATCATCCGGCCAAGTGGTTCAGTCAAGTCAAGCCCAGGTAAAGTGTACATGATGTTTTGTTGTTTCTTGATTTCGTTTTAAATTCGCATGCACTATGTGTAAAAATTATATTGGTTTGTACTGAACGACTGAAAAGTATTTAAGTTGAAACTTTTTATTTTCTTGTCTTACGTTAAACAGAAGATACTTTTTATATCCCCCCCGGCACAGTGGTAAGTCTGCGGACTTATAACGCTCGAAACCGGGTTTCGATACTTATAGTGATCACAGTACAGATACTTCATTGTGTAGTTTTTTTCCTTCATTACAAACAATTTTTTATACTTAGAAAAAAACGATAAAAAATATATTGCTGAAGATAAAATAATGGTTTATATAAGCCAACGTTTCGCTATTACAGCTTCATTTGGACTAAAAGGACTGTTTACAAAGAAACAACAACAACAAACTTATCAAATAGAATAGATAATATAGTGAGTCTGTATAAAACATACTAAGTTTTTTATCTCATTGAAGCCATAATGACGAAATTGTTGGGTTAATCAAATTGTTTTTGTATCTGGATTAATTGAACATATAACTCTCTCTTATGCAATACAGTCTGAACTCTGTAACTGTTTTTATTCTGTGTACTTGCATATATTACTATGTTACGTATAACAATTTCCAATGATCTGAAACCGAGCTAAATGATAATTTAAATTTAGTAGTTAAATAAATGCTGATATATCTCCAATTTCTGATATTTCCCAACAAAACTGATACACACAGTTTTCTTTCTTTTAATACAAATATATTTTAACACACAAATAATAATACAATTTACAATAACAGTTATTACAAACAATGATTTTTATACAAAAATTTTACAAACTTACAAGCAATATAAAGTCTTCTTT